ATCACATGACCGCTCCTGTGCCAAGACTGACTTTCCAGATGGACGACCCGTTCAGGACCCGCCCAGGCTCACCATCCGTCCCCAGCCAGCGCTCGGCGCCGGCAGAAGCACCAGCAGCCAGCAGCCAGCAGCCAGCAGCAGTGCAGTGGTGCCTGCTTTTGCCTGCTTGCCTGCCCTGCAAAAAACGGAAGGCTCTCTCTGGCTTCCACTTCCGCCCGGCTGTTGTCACCTTCCCTGGGGGATCCTTTCAACACCACCTCACGTCACCCTACCACCCTCTCGACAAGCGCCAACATTTACCTCTGCGCGACCACGGCACAACGCGATAGCCCTCGGGACTCATTCGATAACGTGTCGTCCAACTGTTCCGACATTCGATAGACCAGCATTTCACGCGCCCTTGTGCCTTGGGGGCGGCCTCTCGTGCATCCCGGATCACGCACTTCGAGCCTTCCTTGCCACTCTACTCGAGTGTTCATCGTTCCTCTGCAACCAAGGCGCTGACCTGCCTCTCTCTTGTGTCGTCCCAATCCAAGACGCCGAGTCGTCAAGGTCGCCTTCCGCGCGCGACTTGTCCAGTCTCAGAGTAGAGCCTGCGCAATCGGCGCCAGTGACCGAGGCCGACTCTCGTAGCCAGTCTGTCTCGGGCTCGTCTCCCAGTACACCTACGGATCATCTGATGCGATAATCCAATCCCGTTTTTCTCGGCGACAAGGGCGATTCGGTCGCGTATCCGGGCGGTGGCAGCGCGGTAGGAAACCCACGAGGAAGGAGGCCTTGGCTCCATGCCAGGGCTCATCAACATGGAGAACGGGGTACAGAACGGCGCACACTCGAATCATGACAGGGATGTCAAGGTCAACGGAGGAGCGGTGGCGGTAGACAGCCCGGCGGCGCTGGACAAGGGCAAAGGTGCAGCAGCGGGAACGAGTGACGCAGCGGCACAGAACGGCCACGGTGACAAGACTGTTCCGCCTGCCAACGCACAAGACGCGCAACGGGGCACTTCTACCGTCAGTCTGCCGAATCGGTCGAGAATGAACGACTTGCCAGACGAGATCCAGCACATCACACAAGGCTTCATCCCACTATCGACAATCATTCTTCGACTTGCTCAGGCAACGCATGACGACCTGGAGAAGGCCATCATGGATGCGGCGCGTATCAAGTATTCCCCACCAGCGATAAACGGAAGCGCGACTGGCGGCGGCGATCCTCCAGATGACTCCTCCGAAGCGAACAAGGCGAGGAAGCTTACACTGTTGAAGTTTGCCCAAGACGCCCACACCAAATGGGTCAAGGCCTTGGTGATCACGGACTGGAGCAGGAAAGCGTCTACGGTCAGCAAGCTGATCGATCTCAAAGCACACCTTGACAAGAAGCGAAGTCTTTTTGATTTTACCCTCACCGAGCTGATCGAGCTGAAGCGCTCGCTCGGCCAAGCGAGACTGCCGAGACCAGACCTCAAAACAGCCCTGCAAATCCTCACCACGGGCGAGGCACCTTGGATACCAGAGGTATGCGCACGCATTGTCGGATGTGCCTCCGAGCCAAAGCTAACATGGAACAGCCGGGATACATTCCGCCACCATCATTAACGCCGGAAGAACAGCTGAAGTGGATCGAAGAGCTCAACACGCTTCTGTCTCTGCGCCTCAATCTCGACGATTACGACAAGATTCCACATCAGTTCAAGAACTACACCATCAAATCGGGCCGGGTGACCTTCACGGTGAAGGGCGAGTTCGAAGTCGATCTTACGATTGCCGACGAGGATTTTGAGAAGCAATTCTGGTTCATCGACTTTCGCTTCGACTTCACGCCTTCCTCTGAGAGGCTATCTGATGCGCTGGTGGCTTACTTGGAGGGGCAGGTCAACGACGTGCTGTCGCGGGAGGGGCTGGAGGGCTGCTATCGATTCCTCCATGAGTTCGTCCTCACCCACAAGATCAATGAGCTCAAGCGACAAGCCATCGACCTCGTGCGAAACTCTTGGACTGGCAACCTCAAGGTGGAACCGCTCAACCGGGCGCTCGCCATTCAGTATTGGACGTCACGGTACGGCCCTCAAGCACCGAAAAGCTGGGTCATGGTCGCAGTACAGAGCGGCAAGCAGAAGAACGGGCTGCCGGATCCAAAACACCCCAGCCATCTTGTCGCTCGATGGTACCGGGACAACAAAGAGATCAAAGACGTCAAGCTCCACCTCAACATTCAAGAGATCTCAGCAGAGGCTTTACTCAAGTCAGCCATTGCCAAGCACGTCGAACATATCCTCTCTTCCATCCACGACAAGCTTGCGGCCGCGCCGAGATTCGTCAACAGACAGGCCTATATGCGGCTCGATATTTCACGCTCGGAACCGCTCGATTCATCGCTCGAGATGCAGCTCGGTGGCAAGAAGATGGTCAAGTTGCTCATCGAGCCCATCACAGGCTTTGCTGCGATACAGCCACATACACGATATGGTCTCCAAGGAGAAACACGGATCAACCACGGCGGCAAGGATCCGGCCGAGGATGGCGTTGCCTGTCTGGAGAACATTCGATGGGGCTATGTTGTGGACGAGTTCAACCGCCGCGGTCGAAGCTGTGGCTGGGCGATGACGAAGATACCCGTCGGAAACGAAGAGGTCAAGCGACTCATCAAGACAAGAGAACCGTTCCAACCAGTCTTTTTCCAGCGACAAGGGCTCGGTCAAGACTGGTTCGTCCTGATGTCTCTGAGCCTGGCCGGGGACGAATGGTGGTTGATCGAGGTGTAAGTTGATAGCCGTCTCGCACGTACCCCGAACTATTTACTGATCTCAACAGGACACGCAACGGAGCGTCTCGTACAGTGACGACCTCGATCCAACTGCCCTTCTCCAAAGGCCAACCCGAGCTCAATGACAAGTTCTGGAACAACTTGACGAGTTTAGCCGCCGCAATGATTTCTCAGGCCATCGAGCTTGGTGAACTTAAGAAGAACCGTATTGACCACACCGCCAAAGACATGCAGAGCCGATGCTTGACACAGCAGATCAGGATACCCGTCATTTTCATCAGGCTTGCGCACATCTTGGACTCACCAGACTCATTGGCCCAGACTCGCGCGCAGGACCGCCGCGTGCAATCGAGCGCTCCGGCATGGCCCGCCGACACCGTTGAAGTTCATTTCAGAGGCACCAAGGGTTCCTCTGCAGCAAACTCTGCTGGAAACGACACGGCCGGACTCGGCATTAGTGTTGATGCTGTGTTGAAAGTTAAAGACAAGCACAAGTTTAAGCAACTTCAGGCGCGAATCGACAAGAACGTAGCGTTTGACCGGAGGACAGGGCAATTCGTGTTCCACATCCGCGGCTCCGTTGGGAAGCCCGTGTTGCAGGCACTTGCCGACCACATCAAGTCGATTGACAGGTTGGTCGGTTTCCTCGATGCCATGCGGTGCGCAAAGGGAGCAGTTCAATGTACCGAAGTCGGCCTCGGCAAAGTCAAGTTCTCGTACTCCGATATCGTCCTCCCCGGAGAAACTGGCGAGCCCCGGCAATGGACTGCTGTACTCAACATGTCACGCAACGGAACTCGCCTTATCCTCGAGCCGGATAACCCGCACTTGCGGATTCTTGACTTGCTCACCAAGGTGGTCAACACGGAGAAGGGGCTACGCGTCATGATGGCCTACATGACGGACGTGCTCCCGATCCTTCGAGTTTTCGACACTCTCGAAAAGAAATGGGAGGAGGTAGAGGCGGCTGGTCAGGGGCACATCGAGCTCCTGACCCCGGCGGCCGATTGGTTCGCTGTCCGGTACTCTTTGCCAAGTACAGCAGGCCCCGCGCGCCAGCTCACGATTGATGTGTGGTCTAAGGAACGCCAGGCTCAGCCGTATTGGTTTGCTTCGCGTAAGCAGCGCGGCCCACCATCGCCCGCGGACGACGAATTCAAGGCGGTTCTCAAGGGGGTGTGGGATTCCAGGGGGGAGAATTGGAGGGGTCTGACGACAGGCGCCGTAGCTCAAATGGGCATGGGCGTGTTTGAGATGATCCAGGCCATGGACGACGCCGTCAGGGCGTTTGCGACAGGGAACGGCCCGGCCGACGATAACGCTTCCACTGCCGGGCTACCGACGCAGGTCAGCCAGGTCTTCTCGAGTCAGGGGTCGGGCAACGGCACGCCGCAGACGAGCCAGGCCCAGAGCCAGAAGCAAGCGTCTCAGGCTTCGCAGGGCCAGCAGCCTCAACGGCCGCGGCCGAGCCAGACGCCCAACCAGAACCAGATGCGCAAGCCGAGCTTCGGCAAGCAAGGCGGGGGAGCCAAGGGACCGGTGGGCGGCAAGAATGCACCGGTCGTGGTGCTGGATTAAGTAGACGTTGGCGGGCAGTTGATGCATTACCTCATTGATACCAAGCGTAGTGGGCAGGTGGGCGGGCGGGCGGGCAGGCAAAAGGGGGTTGGCCGTGTGATACCTCAGATACCCCTGAATATAATTTTCGGTGCACCTGGCAGTGGGTGAACTCCGCGTCGTGGTCTTTGGTTTCTGTGAGAACTCGTTGATGCTTGGTCTGGTCCTGGTTCCAATCAGCCAGTGCATGGCCGAATAGTATGGCCTTTGAACAAAGGACCAGAGTGAGCATGCCACAAATACACATCGTTTCCTTCCTTAGGTGAATCACCCGAAGCTGGGCGTGGTTGGGGGTGGGGGATGCAGCCGACAGGCTCTGACCAGAGCAAAGGAGCTTTGTAGGCATCGAAGCAGCATTCGTTGAGCTCTAAAGCCGAACGAGTCTGTGTCAGTCTTTGAGCTGAGGGCCGAAGTAGGGTTAGACGTACACATGCAGCAAAAGGCACAGATGTCTCCCAGAAGCCCACGCCCCTGCGGGTTCGATAAAGTCATCTCACATAGCGCATGCGATTGCACTTTCTCAATGATCAATTTGAGCCTAGGAAGGACATCTGAGTTTGCTTTGGTCTCATTTCGCACGAATCGCGACCCTTTATAGATGATTCGAAGGAGAAGAAGCGGCTTGATCTTGCAAATTCAGACCGAGAGGTGATCCTGAGGTTGTCATCGCTGGAGCCTGTTCGCGCGTCTCTATATATACCCATCAGGAGAGTCGACATGAATTATACTCCCTCGGCCGAAGAGGATGTTTGATATGATAGGACTGTGCGGTCATCGACCTGCTGCTGCGTTCGGGTGTCGAGCGATACGCTACAGGGGAACTATCGTCCCTAGAACGGGGTTCAAACCGGATTCAGAGAGCGATGAGCCAGAGACAATGGGCCATACCATATATCACGACTGCCGTTGGTCGGACCTTGTCCAACGTTGCCTGTTTTCACGATCGGTATTATGTACCGGGCGCATGACGTGGCGAGCTTATCACGGTGGCTTCGAAGGGATGAGAAGGATAGAGAGGGAAAAAAGAACATATTTGAGCGTTTTGAGACGAACTACGTTGGATCATCCTCACAACGACAGACTGCGCGTCAAGCCGCGCGCAGTCATTACGAAGACCAGAATGAAGCCATTGTATCGCCAGTGTACAAACCGTGCCGAAGAAGCCCAACTTGTATCGGTCCGGCGGCTATATTTTGGGTTGGAGCCGCACGCGGAGGCCTTCATGATCTGGACACTGCAAGGACTGACGAGCTCCAGCAACTCGAGGGCGGGAAGATAGAAAATGGTTCGAGGCCGCTCGTGCTGCCAGACGTCTCTATACCCCATCGATGCTCCACCTAGCAGCGTGCAGTCTTGGGCACTCTATCGGCTTTCAACTTGATCGATTGGAAATCAAGTGTGACGAATGAGCCAGGTAGAACAAAGTCCACAGTGAGAGAGTGAGAAGTGATAGAAACGTTGATTTGCCTCACACGGGATGACAGGATGTTGAGTGACCAACAAACACCGTGGGATAATGGTAGATCAAAGTAGCACAGAATGGCACCAGCACCTGAGCCATCCTCAGCCCAGCCAGCCCACGAACGACACCATCACTGAGCTTGGCACCGGGAGACTGAAGCACAAGGCCAAAAAGGCAAGACGGGCAAAAAGAATGGGCGCCATCCGGGGATTGAACCCGGGACCTCTCGCAAGCAATGCTTCAGGGTGTGACCCTAAGCGAGAATCATACCACTAGACCAACGGCGCGTTTTGTGAACAAATCCCTGGTTGGACCAGGGGCCGGTCGATGGGAAGCTGCCAGAATTGTGCGGCATATGAGGGCATGGCGTTTTGTCGGTGGGGAGTTTTGGTGCCAGATTCGACACAGAGGATGGATGAGTGGCCAATGGGGATTGTTGCGGTGTGTGGATTCGATCAAGAACGGGTGGGTCTCAGGGAAGAGGCTGGGGATGTCAAAAGTCGGAAGGACAAGACCCAAAGGGTGTCAGGGTGTGCAGGTACTGATCAAAGATGAAGAGAGGGAGTCTGAATCATCTCGTGCGATTGGTTGGTCATGTTGGCCCCTTCTGACGGATGCACAACCTGATCAAGAAGTCATGGCACTTTGTTTGACTGGCAGGGAATGAATCCCGGGTGACCCCTTTGTTGCATAGGCAGGAACAGAAGCCTGAGCCCCGAAAGCGTAACTGTCCTCTACATGGCATTGGCCATCTCCTTTGTTGGCGAACAGCAGGTGAAAGGGGCATGCAGCTAGATAGTACCATGTCGATGTACCATGTCGATGTACCATGTCGATGCAGCTTGAATCTTCGATCAATGCGAATCTCCGTCGCCAATGACCGCTGTGGCTGACAGTGAACAAGATCACTTTCGACTGACCTCGACCGAAGAACATTAATAATTCAAAGCCTCGATCTGTTGGCTTCTGAACCCAAGCTGCCAAGGTACCTTTTGCCCAACCCCCCAGTTATACTTTTGGCCTGCCACCTGAGAAGTCGGTTTCTCCGTAAGCAAAACCGCACGTGACTTCGTGCGCCACATCAATCCAGATCAGGCAAAGCGTGCGGCTGCAGGTGCTCCAGGAATTTGCCGTCATCAGAAAACACAGCAGCCTCTCCGACCCTCATTTACCTAACTACCTCCATTTCACGCGCGTCTGAGCTACCATCTGCAATCTAACGACGACAATCATCCTGCCCGATACGATCGCTATATAGCTCCTTCATCCTGCGCACCCAAGCGCAAACGTCAAGCACCCACACATCCACGCGAAACCCGCCTACGAGGCGCTCGCAACCATGCCTACACAAGTCGCCCAACACACCCCGCTGGCAGATGCCCTCACGGAGGCTATCCAGGCAAAGGTCATCGAAGTCGGCCTCGCACAGTCCAACGATGCCTCAGCACTGGCCGAGTACATCACTCTCACCCTCGTCAACGGCAAGAACCAGGAGGACATCGTCACCGAGCTCTCGACAGAACTCCTTGGCCTTCCCGCCAACGACCCCATCGTCATCACACTCGTCGCTTGGATGTTTGAACAGGTCGAGGTTCTGAACGTCCAGCTCAACGGAGCAGCGCAGCCATCACAAGTCGCGGAAGAGCCCAACCTGAACGCGCAAGACGCTTCTGCGACCGTCGAGATGGACACTGACATGAATGCCGGCGATGCCAGCGAGCTCAACGCGTACGTATTCCTCTCTGGCCCTGCCTCTCTGGCCCTGCCTCTCCCGCCCTTTCTCGATTCGCGCGATCGCGAACACCGCTGACCCGACTTGACAGACCGACGGGCCCTCGATCCATGCGAAATGGCAACAACCTTCGGGGCGGCCGCGAGAAGCGCATGCTTGGCAAAGCCCTCGACAGGACAGGCGATTCCGTTCTGCACCGTACGCGCGGCAACGACAGGATCAACTCGCACGCCCGCGGTCCGCCGACCGGGCCCCGCGGCAACATGCGCGGCGGCGGTCGCGGCATGAACGCGCGCGCCGCCAACATCCAGGCCGGCATGAACGCCATGGGCGGCATGAACATGCGCGCCAACGGACCTCCCGGCATGGGAGGCATGAACGCCGGTTGGGGCATGCCCCAGGGCGGAGAGATGGACCTCATGGCTATGATGCAGCAGCAGTCACAGATGATGGCGCAACTGCAACATCAGATCATGAACGGCGCCAGCGGAGGCCAGCAACGCCACGGCAAGTCGCTCTTTGACCGCACACAACGCCCCCAGCGCAACAACAAGCAACACCACAACAACAACAACAACCACAACAGTAACAAGCCCGAGGGCGAGGGCGAGGCTGGCGCCGAAGGCGAAGACGTCGACATGGCGAAGCGCGAGCCCCCCAACCCCGAGGACACGGTGTGCAAGTTCAACCTCCGCTGCACCAACCGCGACTGCAAGTTTGGCCACCAGTCGCCAGCGGCGCCGCCGAACACGCACGTCGACATGAACGACGTGTGCACGTTCGGTGCCGCCTGCAAGAACAGAAAGTGCGTCGGCCGCCACCCCTCGCCGGCCGCCAAGCTGGCCCACCAGGGCGAGCAGGACTGCAAGTTCTTCCCCAACTGCCACAACCCGCAGTGCCCCTTCAAGCACCCCGACATGCCCCTCTGCCGCAACGGCTCGGGCTGCACGACGCCCGGCTGCAAGTTCACGCACGTCAAGGTCAAGTGCCGCTTCAACCCCTGCAAGAACCCCCACTGCGCCTACTCGCACGACGAGGGCCAGCAGGGCGGCTTCAAGGACAAGGTGTGGACGCCCGAGGGCGGTGCCGCCCACGTCAGCGAGCGCAAGTTTGTTCTCGAGGGCGAGGGGGATGAGAGCATGGTCCCGGAGGACAGCGCCATGGGACAGGAGGATGACGCCGTCGTGAAGCAGGAGCTGATTACGTAGATGTGGAAAAGGAGGAGGGAAAACCAGCGAAATGGGGGGGGGAATAGCCACTGTTCTCTTTCAAAGTATGTCTCCTCGGCGAGAAGGGCCGGATCGCCTTCGGGGCTGGACGGGAGGGGGGGGGGGACTTGGAAGATGACGAATGGGAAATGGAATGATGAAAGAAATCCTGTTGTACCTGTACCTATCGGGCTCACGAGCCATGGCATTCAGCGGCGTTGGGGGACGGCCCGGCGATGGCCTAATTTTGAAATTCTGTCCATGTTACTATCTGGCTCTGCCGTCTCTGTCATGTCCGTCGCATGCTGATGTTCGCTGTATGTGCTCTCTATGACGATAGGCTGCCGTGATCACTCGAGACTCGGGATGTCTCGAGGTGATGTGAGCAGTGATATAGGACACTACTGCAGCTACCCGTTAGGCCGTGTCATGCGATGCAGGATTATCAAAGGAGGCCGAGTGGCTGTATCTGATCTCGGGGGATGTTGTTAATGGCTAATTGTTAGAAATGCCTGGAACCCAATATACTCTATGTGAAGCAAGTCATATCTGCCTTGTTCATTGTTCGCGTCCGATACCAGCAGCATCCAGTTCAAACAACGTAAACATATTGAAGAAAGGAGACAAACCTTAATCTTCAAATCAATCATGTACGCATATTCCAATGATTTCGTGAACTGTTGTCTATTCGAACCTACGTGCTGGACTAACGCTTGCATCGTAATCCACCACAAGACTAGTCGACATCCCAGCAACACCGCATCAAACTTGTCATGCATCTTTACTCTGTGGTAACATGAGAGAATAAACAACGGAATAAAAACCCATCTCAAGCCGAATCTGCCTGATTTCCCTCGTCCGACGTGCTTGTAACATACACCTCCAGAACAGCCTTCACTTCCCGACCAGACCTGGCTCCCGCGCACTGTACACACCAAGACCACTTAGTCAGCAGGTACCTACCTGGCCTGATTGGGTCGCTAAGGTAGCCGAGCTCCAGTGGATCCCGAGGTCAGTTCATCATCAAACGACACGGAAAGCTTAGCTTTTTTTCTCTCCCTCCTCTCCCCCATCAGCCGACTTTTGTCACCAGCATCCTATATCTCCCCTCCACCCCGTGCCTCAAACCATTGAGCTACTCAATGGTCCATAGACACGGCGAAGATGTATTCTTGTCCATGCTGAGAACATATCACTCCACCATGCTCTGCAACAAAGCCCTCCACCGCAGCCATGGCATCACCGCCGCAGCCGCGCACACACGCGTGGCCTCTCGGACCCTGATGACCGCTGCGCCGCGGAAGTCTCGGCCGACTTGTCTGACCTACGGTGCTACGTCGGCGTGCCTCTTGCACGCTCGGCGACGTGGCCTCGCGACGCACGCCTCGAGCGAGCCGCAAAGCATCGCCGTCATTGGCGGTGGCATCACAGGTCTGACGACGGCGCACTTCCTTGCCAAGTCTGTGCCTGTCGGCACCAAGATCACCGTCTACGAGGCGAGTGATCGCATCGGTGGCTGGCTCGATACCCAAAAGGTTGAGTTTGAGCAGAATGGCCAGAAGAGCGTCGTGCAGTTTGAGCGCGGCCCTCGCACGCTGCGGAGCTATGCCCGGGACACCTGGAAAATGGATGACTTGGTGCTCTTCACGCTGGTGCGTTGTCTCCTCCCGCTTGCCGCTTGTATCGAGCATGTCGAGCCATGTGCTAACATGATCCCTGCCACAGCTCAACGACCTTGACATCATGCCCAGCTTCAGGCCAGGCGGCACGCGCTATGTTCGCATTGATGGCAACATCACCGCCGTCACGCCGAAGAACATGATCAAGCTTCTCTGGAAGCCCATGCTCAAGGGATTCTGGCGTATGAAGCGCAACCGCCTTGGCACCTTCGCGGACCGCTCTGATAAGCGTCTCCCCAAGGACATGTCTGTCGGCGAATTCCTCCGCATGGCGGCGGGCGAGTCTCGCACCGTCGATCAGTTCGCCTCGGCTGTGCTGCACGGCATCTGGGGCGGCGATATTGACCGGCTGTCCATGCAGTCTGTCATGCCCAAGCCCTGGCACAACTACTGGCTGAAGGAGCCTCTTCCGCACCTGGCGCACCTTCCCGCGCATGAACTCGCTCTGGTGACGCAGCTTCTCACCGAAGAGGTCCGCGACATGGTCAAGCTGAGCCACCAGGGAGCGTTGATCGCCTTCCCCGAGGGCATGGGTTCCATTCCCAAGGCCATGGCCAAGAGCCTGCGGGACAAGCCCAATGTCGAGATAAAGCTGGGTCAATCCATCAGCAAGGTGGAATTCGACTCGGCTGCCCGCAAGGTCATGGTACGTTTAACCTGCTTCCTTTCTCTCTACCACCACCACTGCCTTTCATGATGAAATATTGCGGATGTAAACCTTTATCGTCTTGTCGGAAAAGCGCAAAAACGATGTCGAAACTTTCCGTTGCCTTCCTTCTGTTTGAATGGCTTCCAATTCCCACCGTCACTCACTGCCGTATGACGAGCGAACGTTGACTGACCTCGTTCACCAGCTCTCCACTGCCGATGGCGCCTCGCCCGCGGCGTACGACAAGGTCATCTCCACCATCAACAGCAAGCACCTCTTCAGGCTTGCGCCCAAACACCTCCCGGCTCTCGCGTCGACCGAGTCGGTCACCATCACGGCCGTCAACGTCTGGTATCCCAAGGAAGGCCTCAACCACCCGTACCAAGGCCTCGGTTATCTCCTGCCGCGCCACGACAACTCGAGCAACGACCTCGACGGTCTGCTCGGTGTCTTCTTCGACTCGGACGCGCTGCCCAAGCCGTTCGACGAGCCGAACGGCACCAAGATGTTCGTGCTCATGAAGGGCACGTACGCCGAGGAGGACGCGAAGGCCAAGGTGCGCGAGATCCTCCACGATCACCTCGGCATCGACCCGGATGAGCGGTGCATCATGCTCGCGCGCACCAACAAGGACTGCATCCCGCAGCACCACGTCGGGCACCGCGAGCTCATGGCGCGCGCCGACGGCGAGCTGTCGGCTGCGTTCAACGGCCAGCTTGCCGTGGCTGGGCCTTCGTACTCGGCGGTCGGCGTCGTCGGGTCGATGCGCGCGGGTTACGACATGGCCACGCAGGTGACGGACCCTGGGAAGGCCGCGGTCGGCGACACGGGTCTCGCTCGGTTCCGAGGCGACGAGAAGCTGCAAGCCGTCGACCGGCACGGGCTGCAGGGGGTCGGCAGGCTGATTCCTGACCGCGTGTCCAAGATTGTGCAGTGGCTTCGCTAGAGCGGGTCCGGCACGTACATCATGGTGTGTTTGTAGATTGCCTGACTGGGCAACAAGAGTGTATAACATGTGTATAAACCTTCTGCTATGGAAGAGACGGCAATCAAGCGTTGATTCAATTCCCTAAACAAATACTACCTCGACGACCGTTTGGTTTCCATGCCTTTGCGATACCGAGACGATCACACCCAAGATAGAGTTCGTGCCACTCTGAACGGCGACTCGTCCACCCGAACCCCGCACTGTGGTCACCCCATCACCCCGCCACCACGTACCTTAGTTCTTGCTCTGAACGGCCACCACAGCAAACATTCCCAACACGCAATGAATATGTACATACTTTATGAAAGCAAAAAGCCAAACGCCGAGGGGCCCAGGCAAAAAGGCAAGGGCGCCATCCGGGGATTGAACCCGGGACCTCTCGCAAGCTGTGCTTCAGGGTGTGACCCTAAGCGAGAATCATACCACTAGACCAACGGCGCCGTGTAATTCGCACTGTGCACCGTGAGGCTCAGAGCAGTCGATAGTCGAGCAGGAGAGCAAGGCGATGCGCATCGCCCGACGCGAACAGGCGCTTGCCATCTCACAGCCTGGTGAGGATCATGCGACGAGAGGGGACTGCGGGCTCAGCGTCGTCATCGCAGGCCAGCCGAGCCTTTCGTAGGGCGGGTGTCTTCGGCAGCGGATGTAACCCACCACGACCATGTTGCCATGGGCGAGAGAGGCCGACGATGGTCAGGCGAGGGAGATCATTCCGGAGGCATAGCATCGGGAGGTTCCCCCCTCGTGTGCGTGAAACCAATGGCAGATAAACATGCTGATCGGTCTTCGAAACTTAACTATCGGTGGACATGTGCACGTCCTGCGAAGGCCATTCGTTTCGTTGCTCGAGTGCGAGAGCATGCGCCCCTCCTGGGCCAAAGTAAAAAATAAATCACCAGATGCCACTCGCTCGCAGGACAGGCGTTGCCCGGCGGCTTGGTTGGAATACCATGTCCTACGGCTTGGTTCGAGATGTTGTGGCCGGCAACCGAGTCTTTGCTGGCCGCCTGCATGACCGCCAGATGCCCTCTGACATGCAAGTCGGCCAGCCAGCTCGCCAGCTCGCCAGCCGACCAAACGACGGGAAAATGTATAGGTAGCTGGCAAGCGGTGTAACCTCACCTCTCAAACCATCTTCTCCCCTCAGGTCTCATCCACAGACAGATCACCTGCCATCCTCCACTCAGTATCAACAAGTGGCACCTCCACCAACGATCAACGACCTTCCTGATGGCGAAAAGTCAACCCCAAGCCCCTTCTTGCTCCTCCTCCTTGCGTATCGTTCTGCCCAGTGCACCCTCCTTCCGCCCAAACAACGAAACACCGCATGATATCTCGCAACCGCCCAACAGCACTTCCACCTTTCCCTCTCAGCCCCGCCTCCCGAACCAAGACGAGAAGTAACGTTGCCGCTACCCGCATCGGAGCCTCCCCACCCCCTCCCCTCGTCTTGTCCCCCTTCCCGCCGCCCTGCCGTGCCCGCGCCCTCCCCTCCACTCTACCAACCAACGCCAATCAGCCGTATCCCTGGCGGACAGCGAAGAGCAAAAAAGGACATGACGATGCGGCTGTAGATCAGAGACCAAAAAAGAAACCGTACCCCACCCAGAGAACCCCCCCCTAGAACCCAGGCAGGCGGCTGGCCGAACAACCAATCCCCCCCGCCACATTCCCCCCGGCTCCCCGTCAACTGCCGGCGCGCGTCCATCTCAAGCTGCTCCCGCTGGTTGGCTTGCCATTTTGGGCCCGTCTTTCCTATCAGACGCAGAGAGCGACGCTGGCAGAGGAAACCTTACCATCCATCGCAAGGCAACCCGTTTGGTCCGTCATCGTCGTCGTCGTCGCCGTCGCCGTCCTCGCCGACCGCCCGCCCAGAAAGGGTGCCCGAGACGACTACGTGCCCATACCTACCTTGCGTTGTACAAGCCTCTCCCTCGACGTGCCCTCCCCTCTCGTCAAGGCTCCCCGAATGAGAAAGTGTTACACACCACTCGATAATCCGCGGACGTCTCGCCGGCCGTTGGCTGGCCGCGACAGTTGTCTTTCTAGCTTCTCGTGCACAACACGTTTTTTCCCTCTCGCGTTCCTTTACGTTTGACAGCATATATATCGACTCGTCCCCTTCCTTCCCCTTCCTTCGTCCTACCTCTGTCTCCCATGCACTAGGCGTGTGATACTTCTTGCATCTTCGCACCACCGCACACAAACAGGCCTACGTACAATTCATATCTTTCGCGGGACCAGCAGCACGAGCCGCTGGATTGCCCATCATCCCATCATGCACCTCTCATCCATCCTCCTCACCTCCCTCACCCTGACCCTCACCCAAGCCAGCATCTGGCCCGCCCCCAAGAAGCTCACGACGGGCAACACAACCCTCTTCATAGACGAGTCCTTGAAGATAACCTACAATGGTGACCCTGTACGCTGGAACTCCCCCTCCCTCCATGATACCGGCGGCGTCTTTGCGCAGCATGCTGAGACCCCTTTGAACCTGCAGCTCCCCTACACAGACAGCTACAAGCCGGACACCAGCTGCGTCTGGAGCAGCAAGGCTGTCGTCCAGGGCGCCGTGTCGCGCTCCCTGAACTCCATCTTCCACCAAAACTTTGTGCCCTGGATGCTCCACGAGAGGAACAGCCAGTTCGAGCCTGATGTCCACGGCAGTGGTCAGGGCCGCGTCAAGTCGTTGAGCATCACACAGAACAGCAAGGACGACAGCGAGAGCCCCTACACGTCCTTGACCGAGGATGTTGATGAGTCGTACACCCTGAGTCTCTCCGAGGATGGCGTCGCCGAGATCAAGGCACCAACCGCTATTGGCGTCCTGCGCGCGCTCGAGTCCTTCTCCCAGCTCTTCTACTCGCACACAACCGGCAAAGATTGGTACACCACACATGCACCCGTGTCCGTCGAAGACAAGCCCAAGTATCCGCACCGCGGACTGCTCATGGACACGGCCCGCAGCTTCTTCCCGGTCAAGGACATTTTGCGCACAATCGACGCTCTCTCCTGGAGCAAGATGAACAAGCTGCACATCCACGCCACCGACTCGCAGTCGTGGCCCCTTGACATCCCCGCCATGCCTGATCTGTCTGCCAAGGGTGCCTACCGCAAGGGTCTCTCCTACACGCCCGAAGACATCCAGTACATCCACGAGTATGCCGTGCACAGGGGCGTTCAGGTCATCGTCGAGATTGACATGCCCGGCCACACGGGCTCCATCGCCCATGCGTACCCCGAGCTCATCGTTGCGTACAACCAACAGCCATATCAGTGGTGGTGCGCCGAGCCGCCCTGTGGCGCCTTCAAGCTGAACAGCACTGCAGTCGACAGTTTTCTCGACAAGCTCTTTGATGATCTGCTGCCGCGCGTCGCGCCGTACACGGCGTACTTCCACACTGGTGGTGACGAGCTGAACAAGAACGACTCCATGCTGGACGAGGGTGTGCGCTCCAACTCGTTCCAGGTCCTGCAGCCCCTGCTGCAGAGGTTCGTGGACAAGAACCACGCGCGCGTGCGTAAGCATGGTCTCGTGCCGATGGTCTGGGAGGAGATGGCGACCGAATGGAACATCAAGATGGGCATGGACGTTGTCGTTCAGACATGGCTCGGTGAACCATCGATCAAGCAGGTGACGGGACTCGGCCACAAGGTCATCGACAGCAACTACAACTTTTGGTACCTCGACTGCGGACGGGGTCACTGGCTCAACTTTGACAACGGCGCCGCGTTCAAGGCGTTCTATCCGTTCCAAGACTGGTGCTCGCCTGCCAAAGGCTGGCGATTGATCTATTCGCACGACCCAGCGGAGGGCCTGACGGAGCAGGAGGCCAAGCTTGTGCTTGGCGGCGAAGTGACGGCATGGAGCGAGTCGATTGACGCGGTGAGCCTGGATACGGTTCTGTGGCCGAGGACGAGCGCCGCGGGTGAGGTGCTATGGTCGGGGCGGACGGATGCGTCAGGTCAGAACCGGAGCCAGTACGACGCGGCGCCGCGACTGGCAGAGTTCCGCGAAAGAATGGTCGCGCGAGGCGTTGGCTCGGCGCCGGTGCATATGCCGTTCTGCACGCAGGCATCGCCTGAAGAGTGCGCGTTTGTCATGTAGATGCGTGCCGTGTAGATGCGTGCCGTGTAGATGTGTGCCATGTAGATGTGTGCCATGTAGATGTGTGCCATGTAGATGTGTGCCATGTAGATGCGTGCGCCAAGCACCCATCATGATTGCTAGAAAAGCCAGCCTGAATTGAAGCTACGTTTGAACGACACTTGAGTCCGTCGGGTAAACAGGTGACCGACTCCGTGATGTTCACATGAAATCGATGGAGCAGAGCCCCCTACATATACATGTACTGCCGCGGCACTCGTCCAAGAGGGTGTGTAGGGGTCGATGGCCTGGGTTGCACATCACAGGCCTGCACATCACAGGCCTGCAGACTCTGCCTGTGAAGCTTGTGACGCCTGCAAAGGACAGCGTGGGGTTGGTCCGTGTTTCGAGAAGGTTGACGCTGTTGACCCCGCCATTTGCTGCGAAAGACGGGTGGCTGCCAGGTCCAACAACCTATCACGTTAGCGGTGAAAGCAAGCGGTGCTCGAGGTGCACATGGTCAGTGGAAGAAAGACTCATGCCAAACGCTGGCTAGTGGCCAGTAACGGCATGCCTTGGTAGCGGGAGCAACGGAACAGATGCGGGGGGAGGGGGACGGTGGAGCAGAGGGAAAACCAGATTCTTCCCGTTCTGGGTATTCAAATCGTGTTGTCGCCGGTTGGCGGTGGGGCATCTGAGCACTGTGTACGGGACGGAAGATTAGGGTGAGGCCGGACTCGCCTTGGCGTGTGTGCATGGCGTTCGTTCTTGGAGTTGAAGACGTGAAGAACAACAGAACTGTCGTTCGACGAGGAGGTCGAACCTCTCTGACACAGTCCTGTATGATTCAATGGCAAGCCCGATCGATGAAT